CTGTTGGTTTTTTTGTTGTTTTTGGGGTTTTTTTTTACTGCTTGGATGTAGATTCTCTCCTCGGTCTGCATGGGCGGCAGTGACATTTAATGGCTCGGCAAGGTAGTCACCGGTGAGCAGAGAGGCACCTTTCCTGAGGGCTCAGAGGCTGTCGGGAGTGTCCCAGCACCGGCCAGCACTCGGGGTGAACGCCTGAGCCCCCCGAGCCCCCACACCCACATGAACTTGGGAATTCACGAGAGCCCAGACAGACTTGTGCAAACAGCTGATGGGGCCTCTGTGTCCCCGCTGCCGGCTTGCACCCCAGAGCCGCGGCACGCCCGCTCTGTCCTTGGCCGGTGCCAGCACGCTCTCAGGACAACTGAAGGGCAGGGATTGGACTTGGCTTTTTTCTTTTCTTCCCCCGCCCCCCCCCCCCCGGCACTTTCTCATGTCATAACCTAATGCTGTTCTAACAGAGCTCCTGCATATTAAATTGCCTTTTAGCAACCGGGAAGGGGTGGCATGATCTGCGGAGAAAAGGCCCCTCATGCAAATGTATGACGGTGACCTGCCCCACGGAGGAGAAAGGGCGAGAGGAGCCCGGAGCCCGGGGGTCAGCAAACCCCGGGAAACGTCACTCTTACAGCCACTTCTCTCTCCTTGAGTCAAGAGCCACCGTTCCGGGCTCCTCGCCCACAGCAGCCCCACCCCAGGCCTGTCACCGCCTGCTCTCTGGGCCGCGGCTGGTGACAAGGCTGAGGAAGTCGGAGGAGCGTGTGGAAATGCTGTGGATCTGAGAGCTGCAGAGGAGGCTTCCTACCGGGGCGGCCACTTTGTGCTCCGGGCAGGGCGTCTCGGCGGCCTCGTAGGGCATCGTGTCCAGGGGCTGAGAAGGTTTTTTGCAAGTCTTTCTGCAAAGGATGATCTCTAGGCCCATAAAGTGGCGTAATAGCCTCTTCTCTTTGCTGCGTGGTGCCGGCTGTGCAAGTGCTTACTCCTTGATTCGGAGCCCATTTGCTTTCCATTAGCCGTAATCCCCAGCCTGCAAAACCCCAATTACGAGGTGATAATAGAAATGCCGCTCCGCCTGGAATTCTCTGGCACACAGGGGCCAGCGTGGCCCGGGGTCCTCGCACAGCCACTTTGCAATCATACTTACTTCTGCCACCAGAGCACGACAGCTGGCCAAGCCCTGGGAGGGAGGCCCCCGGGGAGGGGGCGGTCACAGCAGCGTCTGAACTGCAGGGTCCGAAGGAGCCGATGAAACAGGAAAGGGGCTCCCGAGATAGTCCGAGACATCAGGCAGAGAAGTGATGTGGGGAGGGTCGGAGCCACGAAGCAGGACTCTGTCTATGTGCCTCTTTGAAGTCTCCAGTGGGGGCCAGAGTGATGGCAGAGAAAGAGGAGGACTGGGGGGCAGGGGACAGGGAGGTAAGTCAGATGGGGCAGTTTACAACCTCACCCACCCTGATGAGAAAGTCACCCTCTATGTGGCCCCTGGTGGCCACTTAGGGACAGAGGAGGCCCTTTTGTTCTTTGTCTTTCTTTTTTACTGAGGGGAGAACACACAGCACAAGCGCACCACCTTAACCAAGTGTACGGTTCAGTTGTGTTAAGTGGATTCTCTCTGGTGTACAATCAAGCTCTAAAACTAGACCCACTGAACAGCGCCCCATTCCACCACGCCAGTCCTGAGCCCCAGGGGACCACCAGTCTGCTTCCTGTCTCTGTGCATTTGACATGCTCTAGCTACCTCACACAAGTGCCACCACATGGCATTTGTCCCCTTGTGACTGGCCTGTGTCTCTTAGCATAACGTTTTCAAGGTTCACCCCTGTTGCAGCACGTGTCAGGATTTCTTCCTGTTGATGGCTGAATAATATTCCATTGTCTGCAGAGACCACATGTGGTTGATCCTTCCATCTGCAGGTGGACACTTGGGTGGCTTCCACGTCTTGGCCGTTGTGATGAATGAATGCATGTGAGTGTGGGCGTCTGTCTTACCAAGGAGACCTGTCGGGCATCAGAGCAGCACTCGGATGCGCCCATCTGCCCCATGAGCCCGGGGGGACTCTCCCAGAAAGGACTGAGCATCCCAATTTTCCCCTACATTTCCTGCCCTTGGCTCCGAGTTCCCTAAATCCCGATTAGCTCTCTTCCCGGCTCCATTCTTCCCAAGGCTCCTATCCCTTGAAATGTCTCTATTTTGGCCGGTTTCAGGCCTTCCAGCATAATTGTCTTTTCTCCATGACCTCCTCCACCTTAAAACGACGCTCCTCCCTTAGCTGGTTTCACTCTGAAGCTTCTCCTCTCCCAGTTCTTTCAATTCTACGATCCTCCTTGAAATCTCCTGGAAATCGAGGCTAGTCTGATAGCTCTCCGGTTCACACCCAGGAGTCAACAGATTCCGGCAGACCCAAGGTCACTGGGCGTGGAGGTGACTCTGCTCTTCCCGTTGGTGATTTTAGTTCCTTAGCCCAGCTCTCTGTGCACCTGTCCCCCCAGGGACACTCACAGTTCACTACCGCTGCCATCGAGCAAAACCGTGCAGGGTTCCTCACCCAGGCTGGGCCCTCCCAGCAGTGTGCCATCTCTGACGGTGGAAAGTAGCACAGGAAACCACGTGGGGGCGCTCTTCCCCTCCGAGCCCTCCCTGCTTTTCCCAGTGGCTTCTCACGGTGGCACCAGCCACGGCTCTCTCTCTTCTCAGGTGTTTCAAAAACTTTACTAGACTAGACTTTTTTTAAGTACTTTTTTAGATTTCAGCAAAATTGAAAGCACAGAAAGTTCCCTATTATTCCCTCAATTCTGTCTCCTTCACACACACACACACACACACACACACACACACACACACATTCTCTTATTATTAACGTCGTGTCCCACTGTGGCACCTTCGCGACCACTGACAGTCTGGAGTGGAAGCATTACTGCGAAGTAAAGCCTGCAGTTCTCATGCTCGGTGGTGCACATTCTACGGGTTTGGGTGAATGTCATACAGAACAGTTTCACCGCCCTAAAACCCCCTGTTCTCTGCCCATCCTTCCCCACTCCCCTCCGACTCCTGGCACCAGCCGTATTTAAAATCACACCTTGGACCCATCTTCACGAGCTTCTCCGATCTGTTTGGCCTTACGTGTCCTTGCTGGAATGCGAAGGGAGGGAGGGGTGTTCGCAGGACAGAGGGGACTCCAGTTTTCCTGGTGCGGCATCTGCACGAGGGGCCGCACACCAGGAGACCAGAGCAGCAAGTGGCGTGCACGTCCTTTCTTCTGTGTCATTGCGGGGAAAATTGTTCATGGCAAAAAACAGGAGGGGTGTGCATTCTCCTGACACTCCATTCCAAAGGACATAATGCAAATCAATGTTCGTTAAGTGAAAATGGTTGTATTTGATGTACTAGATGATCAGGGTGTTTTTTCTTCATATAGTTCTCAGTCGTGATAAGCTCTCCCCAGGCCTCCCTGGGACTAGGTCCCCAGCCCAGCCCTCCCGGAGTCCTTCCCCTGAGCAGAGGCCACAAGACACACCGACAGGTCTCTCCCCCTGCTCTTTAAGGACCGTCCCTTAAAGGGGGGACAGAAGAGCTCTGGGCCCCTGACAGGTCCTGGAGACCGGGGTCCGAGCCTGCCTGTGCCCAGTTCTGGGAATCAAGCCACCTGCCTGATGGTCCAGCCCCTCACTCTGGCAGGGCCCCTCTCCTGGTCCTGCCCTGGGAGCTGGGGCCCCCAGTCACCGGCTAACAGACCTCCCCCTCCCCCGCTGCCCACGTAGATCTCCTGCTCCTGAGGCGCCTCCCTGGCTCCCCGGGGCCTCCGGTCACCCTCACCCCAAGCAGGTCCCCTGCTGTGCTGTCTCTTTGAAACCCAGCGGCTCCGCCGCCCTTCCACCCCCTCTGTGAGATTGTGTGTCCACACGCACCGCGTGATTCTGAACCTGGGGCTGGCCCTGCCTCCAAAGCTGCAGCTGGCCTGCGCCCCAAACCCCTGTCCCATGCCGGGGGAGGGTCTGAATCCAGGGTCCGCACGTTACACTCTGCCTCTGCCACAGCTGGCCTGCCCACCATCGGCTGTACTCTAGGACGGAGCCTATGGAACCGCTGTGTGGCACAACCTGGGGGACATCATGCACAGAGACTCCACTGTCTGCTGGTGTCTGGGAGCTGCACCATTGGGCCCCTGCCAGCCAACACCAAGCTGCCACAGAGACTGGAATGACGAATGCCCTGCGTAGGAACGAGGAGTCGAATCTCACCCCGCCTGGCGACGTGCAACATTTCCGCTAAGCCCCTAAAATGGGAAAGGGAGTCTGACTAAATCAGAGAACTTTTCCCACCAAGGCTTCCACAGATCACGTTCCTGTCCTCACTCAATTAGTAACTTAATCCCTAATGATCCAGAACCACTCCCAGGCCAGCCCTGTTCTAGGCACCAGGGAGTCCACAGGGCGTAGGAGGGACCCAGCCCCTGCTGTCTTGGGTGGAGACAAGCAGAAAACAAAAAGAGCAAACAGACAAGATAACAACAAATGGAAAGAGATAAAGTGATACAACGGAATCTGGGGGTGGGGTCGAGGTAAGGCAGGATACCACAGAATTCCGGGGGTGGGGTCATGGGGTAGGCCTAAAACTTGAGCTGGGAGCAGAGATGGGGGGGCGGGGGGGAAGGCGGGGACGCAGAGTCCAGTCCAGGAAAGAGAACAGCAGGCACAGCAGCCTTGACCGAGGAGGGAATGGAGACGAAACAGGCCCTGCAGGGCCAGCGCCCCGGGAGCAGAGGGTCACGCCGCAGAGTACCCGCCTGGCTCCAGCCCCGGCTTCATGACTTGCCCTCCGCCCACGGGACTGAGCCCAGGGTCCGGGCCTCGGGCTTGGGAAGCCTGTGTCCTCACCGGGTCTACCTCTAAAGCCTGGCTAAGTCCGCCTTTCCCTGCAGGCTCCTCATCTACAGAGCGAGAGCACGAGGCCGGATGACCGTAAAGCTCCAGTCCTCCAGCACCAGGGGCCAACACACACTCACCCAGACGGCCGGGACTCCGCGCGCGGACACGCCAGACTTGCCTTCCGAGCGCCTCGGATCTTCCCCCGCAAACCGGCTGCCGCTCCGGGGCGTGGACGCCTGCCAGCTGCAGCCCAGGGACGCTGACAACTCACTTGGCGGGTGAGCCGTGTCACGGTCGTGTCCAAGAGAGGACAGGCGGGAGGAGAGAGGGAGCAGGCAGGACGCCCACTCCCAGACAATGAGGCTTGTAACAGCCCTGCCTGGGCGGGAGCCTAGATTGAAACATCATCGCAGTCCAGCCGAGTGATGGCACGAAACAAGCCGCCCAAGCACCAGACAGCAGGCCCCGTGGCTGCCGGCGCCCCAGGCTCCGCGGACTCCAGACTGGGCCAAAGCACCGAGTGCACGGCCCCGCCAGCAGGGCCAAAACAGCTAGTCCTTGCCTCAATTACGCGGGGTATCCGAGGTGGCAGGTTGCCCCTCCCTGGCGGGTGGAGGGCCTGAGACCGCGCACCCTAGGCCTGGAGCTCCGGCTCCACTGACCCCGCCTACAACCCGCGAGACTGCGTTTACCCAGAGGGCTTTGCGGCCGAAGCAGCCGGCTCCTCCTGGCCGCACACCTGCGCCTGGGCGAGATCACCCGGTGCGGCTTTTAGGGAGGGCGCCGCTGCTGTTTGGGACGGAGCCCCCATCTGGGGGACAGGGAGAGGCCTGTGTCATAACGCTGCTCCGTCCCTCTTTTCCCTGAGTATTTTCACCAGCTGAACTTCATTGCTGAACCCGACTCTAGGCCACCTCCCCTTTTAAAGAAATTACCTGGCTGGCGTAGCTCAGTGGATTGAGTGCGGGCTGGGAACCAAAGTGTCCCAGGTTTGATTCCCAGCCAGGGTACATGCCTGGGTTGCAGGCCATGACCCCCCAGCAACCGCACATTGATGTTTCTCTCTCTCTCTCTCTCTCTATCTCCCTCTCAATAAATAAATAAAATTTTAAAAAAATAGCTGCCAGTGAGGACTGACGTTCACAGCAGGCGGGCAAGGGCCGGGTTTACTTCTACCTGCATTCGTCAGGCCCTTTTCTTGAAGCCTGCGTCTCCGGCGCGTCCTGGGCAGCCGGTCTGCTTCATCAGCAGCCCTGGGCTCTGACTGGCAAGGAGAGAGAAGGGGACACAGCCGACTTATTTGTCCGTCCTTGGCCTGTGACATTTGTGGGCTAAGTGGAAACCCCTTCCCTGGTGCCCTGCTTCTCTCCAGGGTCAGGGCTGCTGGCGTTAGAGCCGATCAGCTCCATTCTCCGCTCCATCCTGGCTCCTCTGAGAGCAGACTGAGGGTCGTGAAGTGTAAGGAGAACGGGCTCACAGTATGGAGTTTCTTTTAAGTAATACTTTCCTGATTCATGTTATTAAGAAATTAAATAGTCGATCCATTTGGACCCTCATTAATAGATATTAAATGTTGCTTATTATAAAAATGTTCATAAATCATTAGGTTTTTAAAAAATTCACCACCACATGGCTAACAAATTAAATTTAAATAATTAAGTCTGATATTCCTAGAGAGGGCTCGCAGGAGGTGGCGCATTAGAGAACCTGTTTTTATCTTGTTGGGTCTTAAACAAAAGGAGCCCGTGCTGGCTGCTGGCTCGCGCGCCTCCCTGGCCCCTTTCCAGAAGGCGGGCAGCGTCTGCGACGCAGCTGACCGGGCGGGGCGGCCGTTTGGAGGGCGGCCCAGCTCCCGGGGCCGCCAGGCGGAGTCCGTGACCTCTGCCGCAGTGGTCCTCACTGGGCCCGGCCGCGCTCACCAGCGCCGACACGCGCTGTTCCAGCGTCAGCGCCTCTGCTGCTCCTTGCCTCTTCCAGGGCTGCACGGGTAATTAAACCCTCTGACTCTAGCCCGAGGACGGCCGGCCAACCTCATCTGGAATAAGAAAGAAAACTTGCCCTGGCTGGCGTAGCTCAGTGGACTGAGAGCGGGCTGCGAACCAAAGTGTCGCAGGTTCAATTCCCAATCAGGGCACATGCCTGGGTTGCAGGCCACGGCCCCCAGCAACTGCACATTGATGTCTCTCTCTCTCTCTCTCTCTCTCTCTCTCTCTCTCTCTCCCCCCCTTCCCTCTCTAAAAAGATAAAATAAAATAAATAAAAATCTAAAAAAAAAAATAAAAAAAAATATCTCGGACAAGGTCACCCGGACCAAGAAATGCACCAATAGGAAGGGATTCCACACTGGTTCAAAGTGTCTGCCCCCCCCCACCCCCGCCCGGTGTCACGCTGACATCTGAGCAGTGGTTTCAAGCAGGGAGCAACAAACATTTTTAAAACAAGCAATGCCCGACTACTTAGTCAGGGGCACTGACCTCTTTTCCCTTAGACTGTCAAGTGAAAAACAGTAACAACAGCCAACACAACAATAGCCGTCTGGTGTGAGTGAATCAAAATTACACCTATTTTTTTTTGCCCGATAGGCAGAAAACATATTTTGGGGGCGCCGCGGGACTTCAGGAGTGAGTTTGTGGGCGCCGTGAGATGGGAGAGGCTGACAATCGCTGCTCTAAGCGGCGGTTCCCCAGCACAGCGCTGCGCACTGGTCCAGGGGGCCTGTGCTGTCAAAGCGAGCTTCTGTGCACCGCGGGTGGTGTCATTGGCCCCTGTCGCTGTGCTGGCATCTGCACTGAGGTGACAAAGGCGGTGGTGGGTACGGGCTGGTGCACCAATGGAGGCGGTGGCACCAACACGTGCGAGTGCTCGTCACCACCCCACACTCAGGGAGGAAGAGAAAAGGCCACTCCCACGGAAGATGGACCTCGGCGCAGCCTGAACGGCGCAGGACCCGGGCTGGGTCTCCACCTGGGGCCTTTCCAACCCTCGCGGAGGAGACCGGAAGCCGGAACCTGGGCTTCAGGACACGTGGTGCCGGTGGTTGGGGCTGGGAGCCCTACTGGCTCCGGGTTCACCAAATACCGTGTTTAGACAGGAGGGCTGACACGCTGCGGGCTCGCAGATTGGGGTAGGTGACAAACTTTGTCTCGAAAACGAACGAGGGAAGCCTATCACTTCAGGGATAATGAAATGATGCCGCTCAAGCGTTCAAAATGAATTCAGAGTTTGCGAAACCTTGTTATCTGGCACTGTGAGCTCCACAGCCTCCCAAAACTTATAAGATTTTTTTTTTTTACTAATAAGATCAGCTATGCTATTTTCAAAAGTAATTTTGGGGGGTACTGTATAATGAAATGTGTCAACATTTGGAAGAACCACATAACTCAGTGAAGGATTATTTTCCAAATGATATGATCTCATGCATGAGTAAAACGTCAATTCAAAGGACTAGACAGACCCGTGGATCTTAATGTAAGATCACAGGAAATATTCATTAACGGGGTTTCAGATTTCACACGGCAACAGGTCTTTAAGGAACTACCACTCATCAAGTTGTGGTGTGGGATCAAAGGAAAATATTTACAATTTTCCGAAAAGGCTATTAAAACACTCCCCTTTTTTTCTAACAACGTATCTGTGGATAGCTGGGTGTTCCTCATACTCTTCAACCAGAATAACATCTCACAACAGACAGAAAGCACTCACAGAAATGAGCATCTAATGGTTTCCTGTGAAGCCAGACATTGAAAGGAGTTGCAAAAACCTAAGACAACGCTACCTCTTTTCTCTAAATATTTTCTGCTGTTCTGGAAAATAGCTCTTTTTCATAAAGATATGTTATTTACGTTAGCACATAAAGGAGTTATTCTTTTAAATCAGCAATTCTCAACCTTCTTCATCTCATGGCACACATAAATTACTAAAATTCCATAGCACACTAAAAATTATATTTTTGCTGATCTGACAAAAAAGAATAGGTATATTGATTTTTTAAAAAAAACGTAATAATATAGTAATTAGCTACCTTTTTTGCTCCAAAGGGACTTAAAAAACCAGGTGCCTCTGTCCCCAGTGAGGCTCAGTGGGTTGGGCCCAGCCTCACAAAAAGAAAGGTCGCTGGTTCCATTCCCGGGCAGGGCACATGCCTGGGCTGTGGGCTTGGTCCTCATTTGGGGCATGAATGGGAGACAGCCGATCAATGTTTCTCTCTCACATCAATGTTTTTTTCCCTTTCTCTCTCTCTCCCTTCCCCTCTCTTTAAAAATAAATAAATAAAATCGATCAATCAATAAATAAAAACTCAGGTGACTATAAGTATATAAGCATTTCTGGTGTCAAGAATTAACCAATGAGATGTAATCACGTTATGCGACGTGACCAATGAGATGCAACTCTATTATATGGCCTACGTATTTATGGCTCAAAGCAGGGCATTCACACCAGACGGCTGTTATTGTGTTGCCTGTTGTCATGTTTTCACTTGACAATCTCAGGGAAAAGAGGTCAGTGCCCCTGACTAGGGGACCCGATGACTAGTCAGGCATCGGCTTTTTAAAAATTCTTGTGGCACAGGTTGAAATCACTGTTTTAAATGAACTAAAATTTGTTTTAGATTTATGCTTAAATTTCTAATGTGATAAATATCAACAGTGGTAACTCACATAAACAAAACTGCTTTGGGGGTCCACAATAATTTTTAAGAGTGTAAAGAAATCTTGACCCCAAAAAGTTTGACAACTGCTGCTTCTAAGGAATCTTGGCATAGGGCAGCAGGAGAAAGGGGCTCTCTCAAGCAGGGGCACCACTGTGGAACATTCCAGATTAAAGGGGCACGACAGCCAAATGGAACAGCAGACCCTAGACTGGAGTCTGTGCTGAAAATGCTACAAAAACACATATGTGTATATTGGGTCAACTGACAGCAATGAAACGTTAAGTGGTATTGTTAATTTTATGGAAGTGAACAAATATACTGTAGTTTTATGAATGAAAACACCTCTGTTCTTGGGAAACACACAAAGCATTTAGGGGCCAAAGGCCACGATGTAATCTACCTTCACATGGTACGTGTGTTTCTTTTTCATAGCTCTGCCCAAGAAACTAAGACTTTCTACATGAGACTTTGAAAGTCAATGCAAATATCACGTTCCAACTCAACAAATGCTTTCACACCTAGTATGCGAAAAGCAGCTGAGTAGAAATTTCATAATTAAGCTGTTAAGCAATTTTCCCACACAACATGTGTACTTATGGGTAATATCATTACAGTTATGTGTTACTTGATGGGGATCCGTTCTCAGAAATGTATCATTAGGCAATTTCGTCGTTGAGTGACTATCACTTACATCAGGGGTGTCACACTCATTTTCACCGGGGGCCACAGTAGCCTTGCAGTTGCCTTCAAAGGGCCGAATGTTATTTCTACTCCTTAACAGTTAAGGAGCAGTTACTTTTATACAGTCCTAAAATTACTTTGGCACCTTGAAGGCAACTGTGAGGCTGCTGTGACCCCCAGTGAAAATGAGTTTGACGCCCCTGGCTGGCTTCCATGAACCTGGATGGTACAGCCACATCTAGGCTGTGTGGTAAACCACTGTCGTACGTGCGGTCCATCGTCGACCCAAATGTCATGCAGTGCATGCTAACAGGTGTCACCAACTCCGTGGTAATAACAGGTGTTACCATGGGAGAAGGGGTCCTCCCGTGCAGCCTCCACTCTAGAACCGGGAATGCCACGCACCCTGACAGACTCTCTTGCAGCTAAGTGTGCTCATATGACCCACATGTGGCCAACGAGACATAAACGAATATTTGCTGGAAGCTTCCTGGTAAAGGGACAGGCAAGAGGGAAAAAGCCTCATGTCCACCCCACCTCCCATCTCCTTCTTTTGGGATTTCATGAGGATACTTGGAGCTTGATAGAACAAACCCGAAGACACAGTGCTAAAGACAGCCAAGTGAAAACAAAGGTAAAGCCTGCATCATTGCTGACATCACTGAGCAGCCAAACCAATGCCAGCAAATGCTTACCTCTGGACTTACTATGTGAGAAAAAGATACTACTATTTGTTTGAGCCACTGAGCGGAGTCTGCTACAGCCACATAGAGGACTGGTGCCTGCTTCTGGGGGAACCAGGGGGAAGGCAGGACAAACACAAACCATGCTGCGCACTGCTGTGCAAAGAAAGCAACTCCCTAACCACGTGCATGTCAAACCTGGGCCGAACGGCATCTTTACCAAGAGCAAAGACTGAACAACGGTCATTAACAAACATTAAACCAGAGAACCCCTGCAACAATGAGCATTCTGTAGCGATTTAAGAAGGCTCGAAAGGTCAAGACCTCCTCTAATCAGATGGGTTTAAATGGAAACGTCTTTTCTCGGGGTGTCCTGCCTAGAGTGTGTCTGATTGCCAAATGCCTCATTCAAAACCGTGTACAAGAATGCTTTCACAGAAACACAGGAGTTAAAAATAAGACATTTAAATAGCAGTCTCCCTTCTTTTTCAAAGGTGTATGTGCCCATGATCCCGGATGCTCACAGAAAGATTTCTTTTCCTTATGTTCTATTTGAACTTTTTTTTCCCCAAGACATTCATGAGGAAATTGACACAGGAAAAAATAATTTAGGAAGTTGGGTCCCGATCAGCTACTTCACTGAATTCAAGTGCAATCAGGTTTATAACTTTCACATGGGAATATAAACCATGTGTATCAAACACCTCTGCATAAGATCATGGTGTGAACCCACGGGTGGGGCGGGCGTGGGTGGGGACAAAAATACTCGAGACACACCCAGGCTCTGGTACAGTTCATCATCTCGTTAGAGGAGGAAGAGGTCAATGAGAAAATTTCAACGAAATGCCTCCATTATAGTTCTAGACAGGAGAAGAGATGTCAGCAAACACTGCATGATTTATTGCCAGAAAGACTGTTGCTGACAGGAACCGCTAAGGATTCCAGAGACAAAAGATCCCCTCGACCAGAGGACGGCTGAGTGGAGACTTTGGGGAAAGCAGGGCCCCCGGCGAATCTTGAAAGATGCACCGGAACCTGTGGGTGGGCAAAGGAAGCGCTTGAACAGCCTTCCAAGAGAAGGGCTGTTTCGTGTTGTCTGTTTCAGGGTGAGAAGTCCCCTGGGACGGAGGAGTGTCTCGTGTAGGGAGGGAGGCAGGGCCCGGGAGGATGCTGCCGGTCGCAGAGCAACATTGACATTCAGAAGAGACTGGCGGCCCGAAGGTGGAGGGAATCCAAGAGTCCGTCAACAGGCGAACAGATTAGCAAAAGGCGGCAGACAGTGGGATATTAGCCAGCCTTCTCAAAGGAGGGAGAAAAGGACCTCCCCGCTTTCTCAGTTCCTTCCGTGACAACTGATTCTTCGGCCTAACTATTTTTAATCCACAGGCAGATGTCACATGGGAAGCTCAAACACCGTGCCTGGCACACGGGACATTTGGGTCATCGATCACACGAGCCTCCATGTTTTTTCAAGCTCTTCTCCATATTTTCTCTGGACGCTGGTCCCTGACTTGGCTTCCTCTTCAATTCAGGAAAAGATGGCTAATACAGTAGATCCCTTTCATGGCTGGGTCTACTGGGGCTTGATAAGTCTGTCATGCCAGACTTGTAAAAAAGTAAATCATGAAATGTGTTAGGGAAACAGAATTCCCGTCATTTCACTCACAAATTTTGCCTTTCCAACGTGGTTCTCCTACGAAGAGCAGTTCAGTGGGAGACGGCTTCCTGACTGCTGTTTATCAGCCATCGACGGGTGGACACGCGCCTCCCAGACACGGCCTCCCTTCGCCACAGTCCCCGCGCTGCCTGCAGCGCAGAAGACGGCCGCAAACCCTCGTGCTGGCGGGCCCGTCCCCAAGGCAGCAGTTCGAAGCCCACCTCTGGCCCCTGGAGCACTGACACCTGCAGAGTGCTCTGGACAGTGACACCAGATATGAGGACATGATTACACTGCAGTCATAGGACACTAAGTCACAGTCAAGGTCAGCAGCACAGCCTGTGCGTGGAAGCCTCGGGTACTTGCAGTAAAAGCATCACCACCGCCCACCCACGACCCAACCACTGACTGGTAGACACGCCTCCTTCTCAGCTCAGGCCCTTCCTGCTAACCTCCTCGCCGCCCACCCCCCAGTTCCTTGTTTTCACTCAGACTCAATGCAACAAAATGGGACAAAATAGGAGTCTCGAAATTAAACAAATTCGATACACTGCTGGATGTATTCACACATGTGACACAACAAAAACCACACACTCCGTTCTACAGGGCTTGCGACTCAGAATTTGCAGCAACATACAAATCTAATGTATTTTCCATCGTTAAGTGTCTTTATTGTTTTTTTTCTTCTACATGTGGTTTATGTGTTTTGGAGCAGACAGAGGGCCAGGGGTGTGGAGGAGATGAGAGAGAAAACACGGAGAGGAGATTCAGTGAGATAATAGAGCAAGAGAGCAGCGGGAGGGCCAGACTGGAGACTGAAGTATTAGAGGAAGGACCCGGCGGGTGGCCCTGATGACCTATCAGATGGTCACACCCGAGGTGAGGTGCAGGTGCACAGGAGGGAGAAGTAAGAGAACCTTCCACTGTCTTCAATGTGGTCTGCACAACAGCGCCACCCACCGGCCGTGGGAGAGGAACACAGCGTCGGCGTCTCAGACTGCTCTCTAAGCATTAAGACACATGTAATGTGCTTCGCAGACAATGCAGAAACGACAGAAATGGAGACTCAAGCATATAATTGCAAGATTAAAATGAACATACTACGGCAGGGTAGGTTTTTAATAAGATCTTAATAATATTGGTAAGGAGCCAAATTACAACACGCCCCAGAATATGGAGTACAAAACCTAAGAGACAATAAAACCTCATAAAAATATAAGAGCACCTTAAAACAGTAATAATCTTTAGGATAAAGGAACCATTTGCTCAACAAAGGTACTGAGTGAGCGTGTTTAATAAAAATTAAGTGAGATTAAAGACACGTGGAGAGCCACACGTCCCCCGGGGGCCCCGGTGGCAGGAAGGTGCGACTCGTGTCGGAGGAGGAAGGCACGGTGCCAGGAGCACAGGCGAGGTCCCCCCACCCGCGTGCATGAGAACCACCTCCAGGCGCCTCCATTTCCTCACACCTCACGCACAGGAGACGAATCCATTTCCCCTGCGTTGCGCAGTGGCCTTGGAAAGGACCCGTGACGGCACGCCCAGCCACGCAACCCCGCCCACCACAGCAGGGCGTGGTCTGGGGGCCAAGCAAGTGCGCCCCCACTTGCAGACCCGAGCAGGAGGGCAAAAGCAGGGAAAGCACCCCAAGCGCAGTTACGCCCACCCACTCTGGCAACGGCTGTGCCGTCCTCTAGGATTTGGGGGCGGGTGTTTCCCTCAACTCTCTCCCGCAGATCCTGTAAATGCTACTGGCACGTGGGTCCTATTTCCTCCCCCCCAAGGGCACTACATGTTATGCTTCATTTGGGCCAGATGTTCCAATCAGTGTGCCTGCTCGTCCCGCCGGGGACGCAACAATTATTTGTTTGTCCTCCCAGCCATGGAGCCGTGTGGAGCAGCTGCGACAGGCAGTGGGTGACAGAGTGGGGGTGCGCTTCTGTCGCGCCGCCAAGGTAAAAGCTTGCCCCTCCGGCCCCCGAGGCAGGCCATGGACAGGCTCCTTGACCTTAAACCCTAAGTCGAGAGCTTAATCAGATGCAGATTGCATGGGACAGGACAGAGAGTCGGAGAAGTGAGGCTTGATATTCTCTCGCTGTGTGCTTTGGCTGTGCTGGCCACTGGAAAGTGATGAGGACCTTCAGGATGGAAGGCATTAGCAGCTCCTTAGAGGAGGATAATCCCAATCTTCCGGCGGGGGCTCAAGGAGATGGCACTCACTGAAGCTTCTGACTGGGCCTGCTGTTAATCGAATCAAAGTCAATGACAATCTTGCTGCACTTGGGTGTGAATTTCCTAAACATAAGAAACAAAACATATAATGGAATTGTGCAGTGAGTACTTAAAGCAACTTCTTTACTTTGGCTTAACCAACGTTTTCGGTGGGGAGGAAAAAATTTTCTGGGGACTCAGGCACCAATCACAGTGCACCATCTGGAGACAAACAAGGCCCCCAAAAGACTAAGGCCAAAGCAGGTGCTGGGGGCGGGCTTGGCTCCAAGGTTCTTCAGCCGGCTGAGCACACGAATTACGGGAAGGTCAAAGGATTTCTAACAAGTCAGCTGCACAACATGACATCCGATTACTAGTTTTCCCACCAGACTTATCTTATTTTCCGGGAAACCTCTACAGCCAGCATGAAACCACGCTAAAGCAAAATACACTAAATTTTCTTTGGCCTCTTGTACATAGCAAAAAGCAACGAGGTATAGTGAGGGGTTGTTTTTAAAAATCATGTTCTAAAAACATGCAGAAGTAACATAAACCCACTCTGTATTTTACATCTAATTGTTATTGTATAAATAACGTGGACTTAGAGTCTGATAAGACACAACAGTCTCCTGGCCTGGAACCCACATCCCTAAAGATGAAGGCGAGAACCTCCCCACTGACCGCAGCAAACACTGTAAAAGAGCCACTTTGAAAGCTTTTGCTGTCTCGAAAGAAGTTTCCACTGTGAATCAAAGGTGTTTGAACTTATCTGCAAGTCAAACATACCTCCCAGTCTTTGCCTAACAGAGATCATCATAAAAATCTAAATGACTTCAAGTCTCAATTTAAAATGTGGCTGTCAAAAGAACTCGTGGTGTTTCAAATCTGGCAGGTTACTTTCATCCTAAATTTTCTATGCTGGTGGTTGCCACGCTTGCAAAATTGACAAAGGTTTAATGTTCGTATCATAAAACTCGTGAATTTTTAGAAGTTTCCCGCAACCAGGATAATTAGTCAAAGCCTTGGAAAGGTACTAATATTAAAGTACAATTGTCAGGCAGATTGTCTTCAAAGACTTCTTTCACTGCTCTTAAAAATCTACCCCTAGCCCTGGCTGGCATAGCTCAGTGGATTGAGCGTGGGCTGCAAACCAAAGCATCGCAGGTTCGATTCCCAGTCAGGGCACATGCCTGGGTTGCAGGCCACAGCCCCCAGCAACTGCCCATTGATGTTTCTCTCTCTCTCTCTCTCTCTTTCTCCCTCCTTCCCTCTCTAAAAATAAATAAATAAAATCTTTTTAAAAAAAAGAGTGGTAAAATTCATGCTGGTAGTTTAAAAAAAAATCTATCCCTAAAATAATCCTTCAAGTCTTGACCCGTCGCATTGAAAAAGAAGCTCCCCATGGGCTGGAAGTCCGGCCTCGCAGGCGAAGGGAACCGTCCATCAGCCAGCTCACAGCCGGCTCTGCGCCTGGCTTTCACCCCGCTGCCCCAGCCAGTCCTCCACACTTACCTGAAGGTGACCCCAGCCATATCGAACATGAGCCTCGCAGCGATGGTCTCCTCGCTATCGTGGTATTTATCAGACATGAATATAACTTCTTTGATACCTTAAAAGGCAACAGAGCAAGAAGCTCCGTTAGCACAGGGACAGAAACACTGTCACACACCCACTCGTGGCCGCGGAGGCCTGGCGGCGCCTGCGACTAACGATGCGCATGCGCGCAAGGCCCAGTGACGAAGCCGTAGCTGCCGCTCTCCTTGGCAAGGCCCCGGTGGGCGGATAGATTTTGTTTAATCTGCCCTCCAGTCTTTATGGACTTTTTTTTAAACTAATGCAAGATGAAAACATGTCACGTAGTCAAGCCTTGATCCGATGAACAAATTTCCTTTACTGCGGACAATCGAATATTCTTTCTTCCCGGGGCAGCTCCTCTTAACTCAAGAGCTAATGGAAAGGAGCAGCGGGGGCTGCCAAAATCACGGAGAAACACCAGCGAGCTCCCTGGAACCGCCGTGCGGCCCACTCCCGCCAGCGCCGGGAGAGCAGATGCGTCCGGGTCTCCTGCCCCCGCGGGCAGCGCGGATGTGAGCGCCAGGGCTCTGAAGGGTCAGCATGGAAGCTGGCCACGCGGGACACTCGCTGCTCTCCCCGGGTGCCACGCCAGCCGCGGCCTCTGCGCTGAAGCCGGAATGGCCCACGCAATTCCGTCGCCAGGACTGTGGTTCCCACGCCAGCAGGCCGCCTCGGCTCAGAGGTGCCCGGGGTCATGACAAACAGCGCGCGGAAACCGCACATCTGTCTAAAAGTGGTAAGTCTTTAAATCTCATGCCGAGAGTTTTATGGAGATAAAGTGTAACTGAGTCTCACGTGTGACAATTTGAAAAAAGTGAAATATTCAGAACACAAGGGTGCAGATTTACGGTAAGAAAAACTTACAGAACTACCGATGGAGTCACGACATTTGTATGCAAAGATATGGTTAGGCCCTCAAATACCCACCATACATTAGATACAAATTAAAATTTCATATACAGACTCCCAGCTGACCTTGTCCCTGACAGAAATTCATTTCCCTCCCTCCCCCCTAATCTATGCACAATATGTCAGAGAACAGTAAACTGACAGTAATGATATGCAAAGCCTGGGTTGTTTTTTGGCAGCTTGCAGTTTAAGAAGTTGCAAACTAAATTAAAAACATGCTAAGAATCACAGAGGATGCAATTAGTCGTCGAATACCTGGCACCATTCAAAAACAAAACACGGGAAGCATCTTGCAAAGTTGATAGTGCAATTAATTTAGATCTAAACAATAGCAACTTAAGATCGCACACGTCTGCAAGGAGCTGCGAGGAGCAGGCGGGATGCGAATGCGAGGCACGGAGCGGCCGGCGCCTACCTGCCTGGATGATGAGCTTAGCGCACTCATTACACGGGAACAGGGCCACGTAGATGCTGCAGCCTTTCACGTCGGCCGAGTTTTTGTTCATGATGGCATTCAGCTCGGCGTGGCACACTGTGGGTGTGAACGAGAGAAAAAAGGAGCACTCAGTCTCTGGCTCGGGAACAATTCACGCGCGGTGTCGAGGCATTGCATTCCGCCCTCTGAAATAGCACATTAATAGACTCGATTAAAAAGGAGCTGATTAGAGAAACCCGAAGCACTGAGAATACCAAATGAGGGCCCTGTGGTCTGACAGGTGGGCGCTGAGGAGCACCAAGGTTCGCCTCCGCAGCAGCCCTGGGTCTGTAAGCACCTAGAGCACCTGGGGGAGAGAGGAAAGGGGGGGCGGGCAAGGTCAAGTACCTTCACTTGCCCTAAGGGGAACCACAGGTCACAGCTCCACAAGCCTGTGGGGTATGTAATGACCCACAGAGAACGGTTCATCTGTGTGTCCCTATGCACACTCGGGCATGCTCGCTGTGGCCGGGAAGAGACTTTAAGAGCAGGGGAACCGAGAATACAGCTGAGCACTTCCATCACGAGGGGTCAGCCTGGCCTCATCACGGTCCTTGGCCCGCATACAGGCGAGTGCCCAGTAGTTTGTCTCTTTGAAGAAAACCATTCATCCACTCACTGGCAATGAAAAGTCAAGCTCTCGCTCTGCTGGCTCATTCTACCCAAGATCCCTAAAGGGTGATCCAAGGTCATTCCCAGACCTGCCTGAGTTCAAGGATGAAGGGAGCACCCTTCTCTCCTCTCCCGCACCTGTCAAAGCCCACCCACCTCCCCAGGCCCCTTGGCTGGGGGTGCCCACCACCTAATCCACAGGGTGCCCCTCTCGTGGGAAGGGCTATGTTCGCCACTCTGATTTAGTTTGGAATCTCCCACCTGCTTCGTGAGGTCGCCGTGTGCTATTCCATTTCCTGGGTGCATTACCTACAACTGTATGATACTTTCCTTGTGACAGTGATTCACAAATTGTCTGCATGGTAGAATCCTCGGACAGCTCCCAAAACACCGAGGCCTGTGTCCCGCACCTGGAGCCTGACGGGGCCTGGGGCGTGGCCTGGGCTGTGACGTCTGTACACAGTTCCCCACTGGGACTCCAACATGCAGGTGTGTTTGGGAAACACTGCCTCAAGGAATCCTCCGGCATCCCCAAGGTGACTCAACGCACGCTATGCACACAAGTGCTAAAATAAATGTTTGTTGAACGCATTAATGACTCTCTGGCCGTGGTCCAAACCATACAGATCTCCTAGATTTATAAATATGGGGCTTCGAAGGTCTCCCTCCCCCTCCCCCACCCAGAACCACCCTTCTACACACAACACCTTCCTCCAGGGGGGTGCTGAGGCCTAATCTCTCGGCGCTCACGCGTTTCGGCCTGTGTGCCTTTGCTGCGTGCCCACGCTGGCTCAGACAGCACTGAGCCCCTGGCCCGCCCTCCTCCCCACACCTCCCGTTCTCGGGTCGGGTGGCCACCGTCTGCACGCGCCCGTGTCCGGCAGCTGCTCTGCGATGCCACAGGCAGAAAGCTGAGGGTGGGAGGGCTCACTCTAGCCCATGAAGACCTCAGTTTAGGAGGTCTTAGTCGTATGTGCAAATGAGCAGTCTAAGGCATTATAAGAAAATCTGAAGGAAAAAAAAAAAGCAGTGCTTAATCAGATCACAGCCCATCAGAGAAGGATGCTCTGGGGCCAGGGGGAACCCTGCCAGCCCCGAGCCGCACTGGGGGGCAGTGAGGACAGGAAAGGGGGGGTCCATGCTCAGTGGCCAGGGAGACGCTGCCCACGCAGAGGTCCCCTTAAACCCACTTCCTTCCCTGGTGACCACGACGTTCCCGAGCGGGGACTAACACCGCTCCGTGTTAAAAACAATTAGATGTAATCATTTCTTCTATTTCCCCCTCGAGGGCAGAGGCCAGACTTCTCGGTTCGTGCGGCTCCCCCAGAGTCTAATGCGCTGCCAGGGACGTAATGGGCGTTAAATATTTATTGAATAAATAAAGGAGGGAATGAGGACTCCAATTATTGATGGCGACACTGGGAAATGCAGCAGGTCCTCTTAAATTCAAAGACCGAAAATGTGCTTTCCCATCCAATAGAGATTTTTTTGATGCTGTTGGTATTAATATTCAGAACTACAGCGTCTCCGAAAACACTAGGAAACCCAGTACACTGTCCTCTTTTGAATTTCTAAAAATTATCCCATGGAAGGCAACGATCATCCTCTAATTCATCCAAGGCAGTCTGGGGCAAAATTGAGCATTATATGTCTGGATTCGTTAAGAAAATTACCATATGAAACAGATTCCCTTGGGCAACATCCAACATCCCTGGGTAAAGGGTGGTTTAGGGAAATGATACACAGGATCATAAACAGATTTCCTTTCTGTTAACCACAAAACCACGAGACGGAAAATATAAAGCTTCGCGTTGGAAGACACGAGGTCCGCTGGCAACGTGACCAGCCGAGTGTCGGGCACCCGCCACGCTCTTTCAGAGACACAGCTCACGACCCACAGCGTCATGTGTTCACACCAGACAGTGAAAAACGCAGCGCCCGAGTGCTCCACGCACACCTGATTTCTCGGCATCGTCCCTGTACCTCTTCGGCCTCAGAGTGACAAACACCCACCCACTCCCGCCTTCCCTGGGGCCCCCTGGCCCGCCAAACCCTGTCTGGTTAACCCCGGCTTCCCGGGCCTGCATCTGGTGGGCGGAGGAGGGAAGTCCGCACCCCGGGCAGCACCCGGCACCGCACCGCAGCCTGGCCCGCCCTCCTCGGAACACCCCACCGCTGTCGGTCCAGACCCTGAAGGCCGAAAGGCTGCACCTTGGTGGCCTGCCACTGGCCTTTCAGGGCCACGATCCCACGGCCGCTGTGCTTTGACTCTTGGCCTCCCCTCCCAAACCGCCCTGCATCTCCCTTCAGGACTGGTCCGTCCGGAGACATGTCGCAGGCAGGGCGCAGGTCCCAGGCCCCCAGACCGTGCTCACAGAGGACACCGGACGGAACAACCTGTCCACAGTCCATCCGGGTCGTCAGCGTGGGTCAGTCAGCGTGGAGTCTGGGGCCTCGTTTCCCCGGACTGGCCACCGACACGGACAAGTGGCAGGGACCTGCCGCAGCGGCTTCAGGCCTCGAGGGGCACGCGGCAGGGAGCAGGCCTGGCCCGCGGAGGGCTTGCTCCAAGCCCGGGCGGCCTGACCGCAGGCCGAGCGGTCCCCGGCCCTGCCCTCTCCACCCGCGACAGAAGGCCGCCCGGGGCTCGGGGCCCAGCTCCGCCCCTGGAAGCAGCGTGACCCAGACAAGGGGCACGGAGCACTCTCTGGGTTTGCAGGGAAAATGCTCTCTCAGAAACTGCTCTTCCACCGGCTGGCCAAACGCAACTTCAAAAAACACTAAGAAGTCTGGTTTTTAGCTTTTCCCTAAGGTGCCCTGTTCCCTTCCTCTGTCTTCCAGAACAGCTGACCTTCTCCAAGAGAGGCTCCGACCACAGAACGAGAGGCTCCGACCACAGAACAGGAGCCTCCTGCCCCGTGCATGGCCAAGGGCACGTCTCTTGACTTTGCCATGCACATCAAACCTCTAGCTGTCTCCACAACAACACTTTTCAACAAATCTCAAACTGAAATCAGTCTAATGCATTAAAAACGGCGTTTCCCAGCTCTTTTTAATGGAAAGAGAAGGGCTGAGATCAGAATACACCCACACAGCAAGGTTAGGTCCTGCGCCTAACAACTGTCCCGTGTGTGTGTGTGTGTGTGTGTGTGTGTGTGTGTGTCAGGACAACTAGGTTTGCCAAGTTGTCACGTAAAAAGGTTCAGAAACACTACTCTGTGGGAACCCATGGACCTCTGTAATACCCTAGCCATGTTTACAACCAACTTCTTTTTTAATGTCCCCATGTTTTGCATCTGCCAGTTTCTGTGGTATAAACATTCCCCACGGCCAATCTCAAGCTCCCACCGTGACAGGGAACTGGGAAGAGGCATGCGCCTCTGCCCCGGTGAGCTGGTCCCAGCACACCCCTGGACACCCTTACCGAAACCTGAAGCCTCAGTCTGCTCCCCTGTTACTCTCCTCCGCCTAAACCCTCCCAGGAGGACCCGAGTCTCTGGGGTCCGTCCCTTCCATGGGTCCTTTCTAGCCCTCGCTTCCCGGGCACATCCCAAGGGTCAGTGTTGCTCATGGATTAATGCAACCCTTCCTCCATTCTCAGACAGCAGGCCTAGCTGTAAAACGCCCAAGCCTACATTTCCAACCCCGAAGTCAGTCCCATCTCCTCCTCGGGCCTTTCTGTGGGGTGTCCTGAGTCATCGCCCCAACTCTTCTGACTATGAAACAGCAAGAAGAATACATGTGCCTTTTTCTAGTGCTATCCTCTGGATTGCACTGCACCAGAATACATGCAGCAAGGGCTACAAATACAAGTGCAAAAGCCAACCGTGGAGAATGGTCCTCACCGTAGCTTTGAGATGCGTATCGTTTTCACATTCATAGTAGGAAGAAGGACCCGGGACTCCAAAGACACAGGATCTAGGACGTAATTCAACAAGAGAGCTAACGTGTCCAAAAAGGGGCAAATTTCCCAACTGTTTACGTAGACTTACACACCACTGGCTAAGCAACCAGCTCAAGAAGTCTCCGAATACTCCAAGTGTCATTTAAGCACAAGCAGTGACACAAAACTCTTTAATTATTCTCAACCTTGTTTAAGAGGGAAAATATCAAATGCTGAAAATAATCAGCTAACACTTGTAAAGTTCTTCGCTGCCAGAAGGAGCACCTCTGTTTCAGGTAATTATAAGACAATTCATAGGCTTTGGTCCTTTTTTTTTTCCTTTTCTATTACTAACTGTCAGAATGCAGAACTGCATTAACCTTGGACCATGGAGAAGAGATTGTATAATTAGAAAACTGTATTTTTCAAATGCCCTCTTACCGGGGCTTGATTAATCCTCACTGTCTTGTGTAGGCGGTTCTCCACAAGTTTGACAAATTAACAGGATACATTCCATCCTTGCTTAGATTTAGATGTAAGAGATTCAACATTTTATAAATGT